ATGACCATAAAGGACAAAGAAGGTCACTACATACTCGTAAGGGGAAAACTCCAAGAGGAAGAGATAACGATCTTAAATATATACGCACCAAACTCCAGAGCACCCAGTTATATAAAACAATTATTAACAGAAATGAAAACTCAAATTATCAGTAACACAATTGTAACAGGAGACCTTAATACACCACTGACACCAAGGGACAGATCAACCAGACAGAAAATGAGCAAAGAAATAACAGAACTGAATCACACCTGTGAACAAATGGGTTTGATAGACATATACAGAATGTTCCACCCAACAACATCAGAATACACATTCTTCTCAGCAGTACATAGATGGATCATTTTCTAAAATAGACCATATATTAGCTCACAGAACATATTTAAGCAAATGCAAAAGAGTTGAAATCATCCCTTGCATATTATCGGATCATAGCGCTCTGAAATTAGAAATTAATGACAAAGGATACTGCAAAAATTCCGCAAACACATGGAAACTAAATAACACACTCTTGAGTAATCAGTGGGTCACAGAAGAAATTAAAGAAGAAATTAAACAATACCTAAAAGAAAATGAAAATGCAGATACAACTTACCGGAATCTGTGGGATGCAATGAAAGCCGTTCTGAGAGGAAAATTTATTGCACTGAGATCCCACATCAGGAAAACAGAACGAATACAAATAAATAACTTGATGCTACACCTCAAACAGCTAGAAAAAGAAGAGCAAGTCAAGCCCAAAGCCAAAAGAAGAGAGGAAATTATAAAAATCAGAGCAGAAATCAATGCAATAGAGACTAAGAAAACAATCCAAAGAATCAACGAATCAAAGAGTTGGTTCTTTGAAAGAATAAATAAAATCGGTAAGCTCCTAGCCAACCTTATTAAAAAAAGGAAAGAAAAAGCTCAAATTCATGCAATAAGAAATGAAAAAGGAGAAATCACTACAGACCCAATAGAAATACAGAGGATCATCAACACCTATTTCGAAAACCTCTACTCTCAAAAGTTTGATAACACAGAAGAAATAGACAGATTCTTAGAAGCATATGAAGTACCAAAGCTAGATCAAGAGGATATAAAACTGTTGAATAACCCAACCTCTGCTAATAAAATTGAGAATGTAATTGGGTCCTTGCCCACCAAGAAGAGCCCAGGCCCAGATGGATTCACTGCAGAATTCTACAAGAAATATAAAGAAGACCTAATGCCGACACTCCTCAAACTATTCAATGAAATTGAAAGGGAAGCAATCCTTCCTAAGTCATTCCTGGAAGCAAATATTACTCTAGTACCAAAACCTGAGAAAGACCCAACTATAAAAGAGAACTATAGACCGATCTCCCTAATGAACACAGATGCAAAAATCCTCAATAAAATATTGGCAAATAGGATCCAGCAAATCATCAAGAAGATTATACACCATGACCAAGTGGGATTCATCCCAGGAATGCAAGGATGGTTCAACATACGCAAATCAATAAATGTAATCCACCATATCAATAAAGCCAAAAATAAGAATCACATGATCATCTCTATAGATGCAGAAAAAGCCTTCGATAAGGTCCAACACTTATTCATGATAAGAACTTTACAGAAAATTGGAATAAATGGTCTTTACCTCAATATAATAAAGGCCATTTATGACAAACCAACAGCCAGCATCATACTAAATGGCCAAAAATTGAAAGCCTTTACTTTAAAATCGGGTACAAGACAAGGATGTCCTTTATCACCACTCCTATTTAATATAGTACTGGAAGTACTAGCCAGAGCAATTAGGCAAGAAAGAGAAATAAAAGGGGTAAAGATAGGAAAAGAAGAAGTTAAATTATCATTGTTTGCAGATGACATGATACTCTACATAGAAGACCCCCTAAACTCCATTGAAATACTCTTAGATACAATAAATAAATTCAGTAATGTGGCTGGATACAAAATCAATACACAGAAATCAATAGCATTCCTATACACGAACAACAAAATTACAGAGAGGGAAATAAGAGAAACTGGACTATTCACATTAGCAAGCAAAAAAATGAAATATTTAGGAATTACTCTTATGAAAGAAGTGAAAGACTTATACAGTGAAAATTATAATACACTGAAAAAGGAAATTGAAGATGATCTCAGAAAATGGAAAGACATCCCTTGCTCATGGATAGGAAGAACAAACATTGTGAAAATGGCCATTCTCCCAAAACTGTTATACAGATTCAATGCAATCCCAATATAAATACCATCAACATACCTTATAGATCTAGAGAAATCACTCCTAAATTTCATCTGGAACCAGAAGAGACCTAGAATCGCAAAGGCAATTCTAAGCAGCAAAGACAAAGCAGGAGGCATCACAATCCCTGACTTGAAGTTATACTACAAAGCAACAGTAGTAAAATCAACATGGTATTGGAATCAAAACAGAGCTGAAGATCAGTGGAATAGATTAGAAGATACAATCACAACTACGAACACACTCAACCACCTTATTTTTGATAAAGGAGCCAAGCAGGTTCACTGGAAGAACGACAGTCTCTTTAATAAATGGTGCTGGAAAAACTGGCTCTCCATTTGCCGAAAACTAAAGCTAGAACCATGTCTATCACCATGTACTAAATTAAAATCTAAATGGGTCAAAGATCTGAATATTAAAACAGAAACACTAAATCTATTGGAAGACAAAATAGGTAGAAACCTTGGAGACATAGGAGTAGGTAAAGAATTCATGAACAGGACTCAAACCGCACGGGAAATACTTCCCAGAATCATTAACTGGGACCACTTCTTATTAAAAAGTTTCTGCATGTCAAAAGAAATCTCCAGCATAGTGAAAAGAAAACCCACAAACTGGGAAAAGATTTTAGTGAACTCTCTCTCAGACAAGGGCCTCTTGTCTAAAACATATAAAGAATTAAAGAAACTCAGACCTCTGAAATTCAAAGATCCAATCCAAAAATGGGCATCTGAGATGAATATGCAATTCTCAGATGAAGAAATGCAAATGGCAAATAAATACATGAAAAAATGCTCATCATCATTGGTCATTAGAGAAATGCAAATTAAAACCACACTGAGATACCATCTCACTCCTGAAAGAATGGCCAGGATCAAGAAAACCGACAACAAATGCTGGAGAGGCTGTGGGGAAAAAGGAACTCTCCTGCACTGCTGGTGGGAGTGTAGACTGGTACAGCCTTTGTGGAGATCTGTCTGGAGATTTCTCAAAAAGTTGGGACTGGAAATCCCATTTATTCCAGCTATTCCACTTCTAGGCATATTCCCAGAAGAACTGAAAGCATCATACCACAGTGATATATGTGCTCCTATGTTTATAGCAGCACAATTTGTAATCGCCAGATCTTGGAAACAACCCAAGTGCCCATCAACTGAGGAATGGATAAAAAAAGTTGTGGTATTTCTATACAATGGAGTATTATTCAGCTATAAAGAAGGATCACATTGAGATATTTATCAATAAATGGGCGCAGCTTGAGACCATACTCATTAGTGAAATAAATCAATCTCGCATGTGTGAATACCGAATAGTTTCCCTAATGTAAATAATGATTCAAATATATAAAAATATGTGGTAATCATGATTCCCCATTAGGTGGCCTTGAAGCCTTATAAAGTTTTCACTCATTAATTAGAAAGGCTTTATTCTGGGCTTCTTGATATGAAAATATTTGAAGCTAAAGTATATGAAGTTTTATCCAAATATTTCAAGGAAAAAGACACTATGGTAACTACTATTAAGTCAGGTTATAAGGTGGTGAAGTACTAGGTTGTTGAAACAGTCATGCTGTGACCTCTATTGTTATATTGTTATGTCCTGTTTTATCTCAATCTCCCCCTTATTGTTTCAAAAAAAATTATTTAGTCATTTCTTATGTTTGTCTTAATTAAAGAAAAAATTAAAAAAAATTAGGATATATAAATAGTAACTCTTTTCGATTTCCTATTAACTTGTTTTGAAGTCCTGTAGTACTCCCACGATCTTGTTTTGACTGATTAGACTCTGTTCCATTCTATATGATAGTATCAAGTTTGAAGACATAGGCAACTACTTTGAAGACAGTAAGATTCACTAAGATACCCATTCTGGTTTGACTATTGTCTTCTTTGGAAGTCCTGTAATGTTTACAATGCCTAAGTTTTATTGGTCTTGTTCTCTACTGTTTTGTCCAACTTTATAATATCTAATAAGATAGACAAGGGACAACGTTGATAACCATTGTTGATAAACTTGTACTCTGTTCTACACCATGTGCTATGTCTATCCTTGGTATTGACTGACAGCTTTGTTTTGCCATATTTGACTGTATTCTTCCCCCCCCCCCAAAGAAAGTAATAAGCACTAAGGAGTAATAAAATCCAAGATGTGTAAATTTTGTTGTAAAAAAGAGAGGGAAAAAAAAAAAAAAAGAAAAGGAGCTCTAACGGATATAACAGCAAGTGTGTTTGGGGGTGATAAATAGCTGACTTTATCAATGTTTTTGGAACATTGAACACAGCTGTTTGCAGTCTCCCTGTTTGAATGTCCACCTTGTGTTCTTTGATACTGTGATTTGAGGAACTATTTTCAAGAAGATAGTGTGTAATCTACTAGCAGGTGATTTCTTACTGTTATGTTTTTTTGTTTTGTTTTGTTTTGTTTTGTTTTGTAGTTCTGTATTGCGTGTACCCTTACGCCGCTTTGGTTTGTTTTGTGTTTTTCTCTTTTTCCTCTTAAATAAAAAAAAAAAAAAAAAGAAAGAGACCAGCACAAAAGTGACAGCCTGCCCCCTCCCCCATATTCTAGGACCCAAGTTCCTCTTGGTCAGGTGCTCCCTACTTTGTGGCCACTGAGCGTATTTTGAAAACTCATACTGTCATGAGATTCAGTGTAAATCTGAACTCTCTCACCAGGAAAATAATGGCACAGCTGTCGGGGGTCATGAAAAGAGGGAAGCAGTCACCGTGTGAACCTCAGCCCTGGTAAAATGAGTACAGCCAATATCTTCCAGAATTTCATCTGCTTTTATTTGCCATTATTATAAAAATTGAACCTTTATTTTTGCACAGATACTTTAAAAACTGTAAAATTTACCAAAATCTACCGAACCTGAGGGATTCAGCAGAAGTTGAAACCTGAGGGCCAAAAATATTGAACAAAATCTTACATTTTTCTAATAATTTATTACCAGAACCAAAACCTATTGAACAAATATGTGACAAACATAAAATAATAAACCCTACCCTTTCTTGTGAAGAAAAGAAAATGCCTACTCAAGTCTGGCCCGTTTAAGAGCAAAATGTTTCAAGAATTAAAAAAATCTTGTACAGTTAATATTTACGCTGCTACACAATATACATGTGCACAAACACATCCATTGTAACTCTGTACCCCTTTGTATTTTTACAATTGCACCATCTCTGTTAGAGATAATGTAAACATGCAGATGGCATTCATAATTATTTTCTCTGCAGTAGTATCAGTCAAATGCAAAATTTTAAATATGAAATAAAGTTCAATTGGAGGCCATCTCAGCTAAGTACTTTGGCTCATACGTTTGTGTTAATGCTTTAGTGCTAATTGTTCATATAACAAAATTGAAAAAAAATAGTCCATTACCAAAAGTACCTCAGGAGAGAGATATCACCTGATACAGAAACAATGAACTAGAATCAAGAAGAGGCCAATTAAATATGATCAAAGCATTTTCTTTTCTCTCTCTTTAAGACAGGGTCTCACCATGTAGTTCAGGTTGGTTGTGAATTCACTATGTAGCCTGGGCTGGGCTTGAACTTGCCATGAGTCTCCTGCCGCAACCTCCCAAGTTCTGGAATTAACAGGTGTTGTACCACCACACCCAGCTAAGATTGAAGCTTTTTAACTGCTTCTGCATTTAGCTTCCAGCTGAAGATAAGAACTAATGCTGTCCAGGGCATTTTGCAACATTACTGTTTTATAGTATTTCACATATATAATATATTCAGAATGTAAAGCAGGATGCAAAATAACTCCTTTCCCCTCCCACCAATCTTTCTCTTGTTCCCAGGAAGAGACAGATGCTAATGCAATGTACAATTAATGAGAACAAACTGAACCTACAGCTGTATTCTTGCGTTTTGGTAGAGATGAAGGATCATAGGATCAGTTCAAAATACTAAAGGGATGGACACAGTAGAACTACTCAGGCATAATTATAGTGCTGGCTTCCTCCCAAGTGAACAGGAATTCAGGTGTCACTGAGAATCTTCTAGCACAAATCCTGTTACTATATAAGCACTGATTAAATTTAGTGGGGTAGGAGAGTGTAGAAAAAGCAAAATACCTTGTGGATAGTACAGTGCTGAGAGAAAATAACAGCAGAAAGACGATTTCATTGAAAAATTCAAGGAAGTATTGTCAAGTCCACAGAATGATCATTTTAACAAAACTATCAACATTATGAAATATTTTAATTAAGAATATAAAATGTCATGAACACTTGAAAAACAAATGTTCACTATCAAATGGTAAGATTATACACATAAATTACTGTTCCACACCACAGCACATCTGTCAGAGCGCTGCTGCAGCACCAACTTGCTTAGGATCTCCTTTACCCTGATTCACATAACACGAATGTTGGTGATGCTGAACTGTGGTGACATGCAGGGGAAAAAAGACTGAAGGTGAAAAATGAAACTATGGCACCTCTGTTCTGCACAGATGTGCCCGGATGTAGGTGAGGGAAGGAACACTATAGCTTTTCAGGAATACTCAAAAATACTTCTGTTCGCAAACTGAGATTGAATATTTGGTTTCTTATAAAGTGATAGAATACTTCCTGATTGCAAGTAATGGATTTATAAAGATTGCTATCCTTATATTAGCCCATAACCTCTTGCAACTTCGGAAAAAATGCTAAATATAGCAAACTAATGTTACAGTATACATACGTGGAACGTGTGTGCGCGCGCATGAGTGCAAATGAAACGAACCAATGCCACTGCCTGCATAAGCCATAAACTTTGTTTTTAATTCCCCACATTTAGTTTTTGGAAAATACATTCTTGGGAATCAAATGCCAACCAAAGTCGCATGATTATAATGTAGCAAATGTCATTTTTTAAAAACATACAACTCTTTTAAATAAATGTGAACACCTCTAAAATAAAGATCTGCTCCAACAATGTAGTCAATGCGGTATCAATACCACGCTTTCCCACGACAGACAATAGTGTCATTGTTCACTGCATCAGGGCTGTGTTGTGTCACAACCTGCACAAGCTGGTACACGGCATCTAGATAACAAAGACACTGAAAAGCTGCAGCATCAAGAACAACACAATTTGCACCAGTTACCACACTGTGGTGTGTGGGAAGCAGCTTATATATTCGTTACTCAATCTCCTACCAAACTGCTCTGGGAATTTTCACAGGTGATAAAGATTCCCTCCCCGACTTTTTTTGTATCAGGGATCAAACTTATAACCTCATGTTTGCCAGGCAGGTGTGTGCCGCTGAGCTGTACCCCTGGCCCCATAGTGGTAAGATTTATGTGCACTTGAACAAAACCAGTGCTTAGCCATAGAGAAGTTCTAGTTTGTTTGGTGAACGGTAGCACATCTGAATTCTGTTTTGAAAATTCTTCCTGTTAAAGAGGGTAGGGTTTCTCATACATACTGTGTGTAATTATGTGGCCAAAAACATTTAAACATCCCTCCACACTTTACACTCATGTGGAAAACTTAAGAGAATCCTATCCAACACTGGAATCAGTACACATGACAGTGCTACTGGGAAGCACTAAAGTAACCACCAACTCACAGTTCAGTAAATGAGAATAACAAAACCTGGGTAGAGTCAGTTATGCCTGGATCCCTGAGAACGTAAATGTTCTGAGTAAAGGCAAGTTTTGGTAAGAAGGAAATCTTTACACCATCATTTCCCATTCAGAATACACAATAATGTGTTAGGCAGTTTCTGGTGTCTAAATTCTTTATGGCTAATATTCAAATTTAATTTGATGTGAATAATTCTTTTCTCTGAACTTCAGCCCAGGCAGATGTGGCAGGTGAGAGAAGCTACATTTCTTACACTCTCCAGTGAGGGCGAACCTTTTAGAGCTCTCAGTGATAGCAACAGTCTGCTGCGGTACATGTGCCATAGGCTTGCCGATACAAATCTAGACATTTACTTTCAACTTGCTGGAACAAAGCTACAGAAAACATACACCACGCAGCACAGTTCCATGTTTACAGTGCTCTTTACCCATATGGTTTTCCAGTTTTATACAGATGCAGGTAATAGATTACTTCATAGTTATATTCAAAATGAGGCAGTATCGTAAGGCCTAGACCCATTAGAGAAACACATTGAAAATGCACATTTCCCAAAAGTGTGTCAGTTTTATTCATTTAATAATGTGCATGATAATAAAAGGCCAACCGCAAAGGTCTTTATGAAGAGGAGCAAAATGTTTTCCAGGAGAGTTAAAAGCATGAGATCAATTTCCATTCAATGGATTCATTTCTATGAGAGCTCTGAAAGCTCATTTTAGATACTGGATAGACACCCAGAGATCATACAGATGGAGGGAAAAAAGCATTTTGCTTTAACAATGAATTTCTACAAAGTATTGTAAAATCAATTCTAAAATCCAAATCTGTCCCTCTTTTCTCCATCACAGGTTTTGTAAGTAATTAAGAATTGTAAGCTTGGTGTTTGTGTGTGAAATCTCAGAATTGGGAGGCTGAAGCAGAAGGATCCCATGTGTTCATGCCAGCCTGAATACACAGAGTTCAAAGCCAGTGTGAACTGCTTAGTGAGGTCCTGTCCAACCCCCCTTCAAACAGAAACATTGTATCCATACAATTACATAGCAGCAGGGGGAAAAGAGAGACAATGTAGACATCTTCTCACAAGGAAACCCCCAAATATTTTACAGCATGAAACACAAGCCTTTCATTATCTAAAAGTAATTAATTTCAGAGTACAAAAATCATTTTGGTGCAGAATGCACACAAACATGACAGACAGAGAATCATAAACAGACCAAAGCAAGTATCGTGAGTTCTTGAAGAAATGTGTATGGTCTCTGTACCTTACAAAAATTATTTTCACAGATGTAAAATCCAGGATCACACAGTAGAAAATATTTATATTTTATATTTTATAAAAAAATTCTTAACAAATAAAAAAAGCTTTGACAATAATAGACAAGAAAAATTTTTGAGAATATATTGATTTTTAGAATTCTCCAAAGATGACAAATCTTAATGACCCTGTCCAGGCAAAGGCCAAAGTCAGGCCGTTTTCTCAGGGCTCCTCATGGCTGTTCAAAACAAAGCAGATTAAGGAAAACTCAAGCTGGAAAACGAAGCAAAAATTGAGCCAAAAGGAATTTTGCCAACCACAATACACCCTATCTAAAAACATGTAAGAACATAAATCATAGACAGTAGTGAGCATACATCAAGGAAATTTATATTGATGAATTGTGATCTCTGTGATGATCATCAAAGCAGGAAGTCAGTAAAAGCAAATGTGGAAATAAGTAATAGGTTCTGGAAAGAAAGCAAAAAAACCTTATAATCTTCAAGGGTAAAACTACAAGTAAAGATTTAATAATTTCATGCCTCCCAATTCATCCTCAATGTATACTGCTTATAATATCTCAATAAATTAAAGATCACTTACAAGATTCCAGTTCAGTGTTAATACTTTTACCTGTTTAACTTCAGGACAGACACTGAGTTGCTTTAGTAAGATATTTGGTGGATCATAATCATCACCCTTTATTGAGTTTTATAACTTAAAAATCACTTCTCCTTTAAAGCTGTGGAACATAATTTCAAAAATGCTCTTGAGATGTGGGTCCCTGATCTTTAGGTCAACATTTATCTAAGCATGTCTGCAAACGTTCAGTCACAGGGAGAGGAAGTGTGCTGAGCAAATTGTCCTCCACAATCAGACAGCTGCGTTTCAGAGCCTGACACCCTTCCAGCTCTGGAGGCAATGTTTCCAAGTAATTCCCAGTGAGCTCCAGATAAGTGAGGTTCGACAGCTCACCCACGTGAGGGGACAGTTCAGTCAGGCTGTTTCTCCCCAAAAGCAAACACTGCAGCTTCTTGCACTGAAACAGCCCATCTGGTAGTGTCTCGATCTGGAGAGGAAGAAAAGAAGCCGGTGAAACTGGCTGGATGTACCGTGGTAGGACATGCAGTTGCTTGAGACCCTAGATATGTTTCTCTAAAAACACACCTGCATGTTTACAAGGATATGCAAACAATGGTGATTAACTTGAGGTAGATAAAAAGAGGAGGGGAAAATAAGGACAAGAGTATCCTAGGGATACATGATGATGCTCTTATGAGCCTCTGATGCACTGCTGTGCATGGGTGGGCAGCTGATTTCGCTCTGGGCATTCAAATAAGCAATTCTTAATGACACAAACTCATTGTCCCAAGTTTAAAAAACAACAGCAACAACAACACAGTAACCAGGAAAATCATTAATCTTGAGGCCTGGATCAGAAGCAAATTACTCTCAAGAGTCCTCATAAAGCGTTTACTGTGTATTTAATGAGCAGCATCCTTAAAAACATCCTAAAAACAGTCACAAGTCTTTCTCCTACATTGTTTCTCTTGGTATAAACTGAAACTTGATTCTGTTTTTTAAAGTCTACAGTAGCATGGACAAGAGGGTATGACATATGCATGTACATTCTGACCCCCTCTATATACTCCCCTCCCCAACACAGCTGGCACAGTGGATCTGTGTTAGTGCATCAGAGGATGCAGGCTGAGCCCCAGTGTTCCTTCACTCCCATTTCTAACAAAACCACTTCTCGTGTATTTAGCCTTCTTTCTAAGCTCTGAGATGGTTTCAACTAAATAATTCATGTTAGAGGGGTAACTTAAATATAATAAATAGCCTGACCTGCTGGACTGCTCCCACAGTGTGCCTGGCAGGCTAGAGGCAAGCAAGGAAGTCATAGTGCACAGGTGCCACGACGGGTTCCCTGTGGCGAGATGACCAAGGAAGTTGAGTGCACATACTTCAGCTCGTCTCTCCATGGAGGTGGGTTTGAACCAAGCACTGTTGGACTACACAGCTGACATATACTATGCTTGATCTTTGCCACAAGGCTGAGAAGCGATTACACCTCACCTAAATAAAGTATTCCAGATATTGGCTAGGGACAACAGGAACCTGTTGACACTGGCATAGTGTACTGTATAAGCTCCTTGATTCAGGAAGCAGCTTTGTTACAAATAGGGCTGGAAGGTACCTGAGCTCAGCCTGCATCCTTTGATGCACCTCTGTTGGGGAAGCTAGCTCTGTTGGGGAAGGAGATCCTAGAACTACCCAGAACTCTTTCCTCAAAAGGACAAGCACTCTTCAGATAAACTAAAGGATGAGCAAACTATTTAAAAAATGCTTGTTATTTTAGAAATTTCCTTCTCCTGTTTCACTACTACATACATTCATTGCTGTATATCTTTGAAAATAAATCTAAAGGTCACTGTTGTTAAGACCAAAATTTAACATAGATCATCACAATACACCACGATACTAAGTATAAGCCTAAAAAAAAAGCATACACACATTTCATTTTTTCTCAAGAGAAGATGTATACCTATGCACATAGATAGTCAATGTTGAGCCAGATGAGGTAGCGAGCTGAGACAGACAAGAAATATAATGCCTCTAAAAGCTACCCTTTCTGATCATAAAACCTCCAGTTCATTAGTAGGGCCACTGCTGTAATGTGGAGGGAAGTCTGCTAAGTATGCCTGGTGGTGCTTAAACAATGACTTAGACAAATTCACAGGAAATAGGGAAGGCTTGACTTTTATGCATTCAATGGACATGAGCTAAAAGCTTCTTTACAGACTCAAAGCTAGGTGCTGGGGATAAAGTACTGAGCAGGACAGACAGCCCTTGTGAACTTTCATTTAGAGGTGGGGGTACAGCTCAGTGGCAGACCACTTCTGTATCATGTTCAAAGTTCTGGGTTCCAAACAAACAAGTGAACAAAGAAAGAACTTTTATCTGGGCCAGGTGGCCATGAACCTCGTAGCCTTGCCACTGTTGACACTCGGTGGGGTAATTCTCCATGGGGCCATCTTGTGCACTGCAGTGTTCAGCAGCATTCCTGGCCCCTACATACTCACCAGCACCACTTTCCTCCCTAGATGGAACAAAGGAAGATATTTCAAGGCAAATACATCTTGATAGAGTAAATCCTTCCCACCTTCCAGTTGAGAAGCACTGGTCTGATGGGAAAGAGAAACACTAAACAATAACACAAAGAATGAGAGAGTCTGGAAAGGGTGGTATGAGGGAGACTGCTCTAATCCTGCAAGAAGGAATATATATTCCCCTTATTTAGTCAACTCTCACTCGCAGCAATGGATGAATTGGGTTGATTTTTTACTGGCAGATTAGCCTGAAACCACTACCCTCACACTCCTGTCCAGTGTCGGTGCTGTGTTCCTACCAATTCTCTTTCAAATCTCCAAATCTGTAATTTTAGTGGACTTCTCATCCTACAGCAAATGATTTCACTTGGCAGTGGAGGGGGTTCTAGGACTGGGCTCCAACCTGCCAGAGGCTCCAAGGCCCTTCAACATTGCTTCTGGGAGTGATCAGGGGCTGTGGTTGGTGGGATTCTCTCCTACTGCTAGGGCTTTCTCTGTTTGCCAGTGCCCAGCTAAGAATGAGGCCCTTAACATCACCTCAAATTCAATTTTCCAAAAGAAGGGTGGGGAACTCTATTAAAAAAACTGAAGTCTCTTTTCAATTTAGTAATGTTATCAAGAGTAAATTTATTTGCAAATAAAAAGATTTCCTTGAAGTTTACATGAACATGAAGCACATCTGCTTGTCAATAAATTCTATAAAAATGCTTCATAACATTAATGTATATTTAATTCATTTAGTGTTCTTTCTCTTAGACTGTATGATACACAAGTCAGAGAGGAAATGTTACTTTAAGCTGACCATTGGTTTTTCACAAAAGCCAAGGGAAAAATTTACAAGCTATTAGAGATGATAAATTTCGTAAACAGATGTTTATACAATAAACTATAATACATAATATAAATATATACAAAATATATAAGAAACTAAAAAAAGCATAGAAAAAACTAATAACTGTATTATAACGCTGTATCCCTGATAACCAAATATCTTCAAAATGGATTGGAGACCCAGGACATAGTTTCTTTCTGTATCTATGGCTGACACCGATAGTTGAATACCCGGCCCTGCCCTGTTCCAAAGACTGGGAGGGACCTCCCTTTAGAATCCTTCTCAGTATTAGAATTCTTTTTTAAATGCATGGTATTTTAAGACACAGTAACTAAACCCATGGAGTCAATATTTTAAGAAACAAGGCAGTATATTCCCATTTAAGTAGTGATGTCAAAACAATAATAAAAAGCACCATCATGTAGATGAGCTTCATATTTACTTTATGGCTAGAAGGCTTTGAGTTCATAAAAGGAATAATGTATCAATGTGGAATGTGAAAGACTGGGATGTAAACTGGAGTGGTTTATAACATTTGAGAAAATTTACTTAAATCTCACACCTTGTGCTTCTCCTTCAAAACAAATGCCAACATAATCTACATAATCCAAAGTTCTTTTAGCACTTGGAGAGGGATGGAGGCTGTCTCCTCTCCCAGCTTCCATACCATGCCCACACATCTGAAAATATTATGTACTTATTAAGTGTTATACAAAATATTATGTAACTTTCTCAAGTTTCTGAGAGAGACCACTCATACATTTTTAAGTGGTGAAATTAAAAATATAACATTTGAGTATAAATTCTTTGTAATGCAGGCCTACTGATGAAAAGAATGGAATTTATTCATGAACACTGGAAACTGAGTTCCATGTAATTTTCATGTGTCATGAAATGTTACCAATTTGATTTTTCTCTGAATCATTTAAAAATATTGAGACCACTCTTTTTTGGATCATATGAAAAAAAATAGGCTGGAGGTGGATCTGAGCCCAAGCTAGTAAGCTGCAACCTTTGGATCAGACAGTGCACAATGTTCATTTGAGACATGCACCTCAGCCTCTTGTTTTAAATCTAACCCTACTTTGAACTCATAACCAGTTAAACTTTCCATGGAGATTTGCTTGAATGCCCTCTCCCAATCCAGTTGTGTGCATATTCAGAGCTTCCTATGAAGCTCCAGGTGCAGATTACTTAGCACTTTCAAGTCTTACCTACTCACTGTCCAATGAGTCACACATAAACTGGAGGCAGACTTTCAGTCATTCCCCATTCTCACCCGCCTGGTTAAACATTCTTCTCTCTTATCACACCTGGACATCCTATTGCACTGCCCTGCATGCCCTCTATCATTTTACATTTCCTGAATAGAGTATTCTTAGGGTGTGCTTCACGGAACTCCTCCCAGAAGTTGCTATGAAGAAGGCATCTTGCTCAAACATGTTGGCAAATGTGCACACTGCATTTTCCTTTTGGAAAAGCACAGGGCATAATGACATGCCACAAGTACTGAGGATTCTTGCAAGGATATGATTAGAAAAGAAATATTTACTTTTTTTGGTGATAGTACCTGTCACCATCCTGTGCAGAAAACTCTGGAGAGACCTATTAGTGAATAGCTGTCACCTGGAACTCCCAACTTTACGGTTGGTGGGAAACAGAGCTCATTTCCTTCCACAGAAACTAACACAACCAGATTCTTACACCCCTATACCCCTTACACTAGGTTATGGGCATTCAAACACTGCTGACCAGGTACTCAGACTCAAGCTTGGAACTGAGGCTGTCACAAATGGAAAATATGAGTAACCAGGTTTGTTTTTGGTGGGGTAGAGGGTGGAGAGGGAGGCGTGCAGTTTTCAGAGGCAGAACTGGCACCCACTGCTGGTGTGTTAGCGTGGTCAGTGGTGGGGTACCCTCACTGTTTGCTTTTGTGTCACTCTGGCTGTAGTCCTCACTGCTATGTGGCTTATTTTGTGTGTGACTATTCCAAGCTTGACTTTGTGGCCTTTTTGTTTTTCCTCATACTCTGAGATGCTCAATGTCCTTCTACATAAAATGTCACATCTAAGTATCTATGAATCCAATATGTTTTATTTTCTAATTTTCATAAATGTCTTGGTCTCTCTTATAGAATCATGAGAATCCAATGCTACCTTACAAACAGTTAAATCTCCATATGGGACATGAATCCGACTTCTCTTAACATTTCCACCAAGAGGCTGGTAATTTATGTCTCGTGAGTTTTGGTAGGAACACAATCCCTTCTCCCTCCTAAAATACTCTTGCCATTGTTTAGCAGCTAATATAGACATGTTTAGAAACTCTATGGCTACCCCCTCAAAAGCATGTTCTTCATGTATACCTTCCAAATATGAGCCCGATATAGTAACTAGTCTCCTTCCCACCCCACTTCAACAGCCCTATCATTAGGTGGGAGTATTCTATCAGAGAGCCACTTTTTATCTTCCTGGGTGCTATTCCGTGTGTGGATTCCAGTGAGTTTCTTCATCTCTTAAATGAATCCTCACAGTGCTGCTTTTGATTCTAGGTTCTGAGGTGAGTGTTTCTTATCCACTAAAGGTATCATGTTTTTTATTTTGGCTCTGAGGCTGTTTAGCAACTGTCTTTTCTGAGGTTTCTAAGACGGGGCACTCAAAGAAACTGTTCTACTTTGGCCACAGAATACCTTTAGCCTAACATTTTTCACGTGCTATATACTATCTCCCCTATGCATAACAGAACTTATTCAATAAAGGCTATGTCTGATATTCTCCTTTCAATCTCTCAGCCAAGACCAAAAATTTTGTATCAAAAGTACCGATGTTGTTAAAAGTTTCATTAAATTACCCTAAAAGCACTAACCTGCCATATATTTAAATTATGTGTGGCCAGTTAACAATTTAATGAGTTGTGTCTTTCAAAAATTATGCACTATAACAACTTAGTATAATTAATGCTTCTCAAAATAATTATTTATGTCTTTTTACTACTAATCTAACAATGGAAAAAATGTGACCAAATATTAAGCCTCTAGTTTTGAGATTTTCAGAGGCTAGTCACCAGGAAAACATCATCAGTTGGCCTGGAAATTTCTCAGAAATGTAAATTCTTACTTACTACCCCAATGCAATCAGAAACCTGGCGGGGATTGGGTAATCTGTGTTTTAGCTCTTCAGGTAACTCAGACCTCCAGGCTAGACTGATCTTAATGTAGGTTTAAAACTTTATAATCTGAAGAGTTCTCACATATCTTAGAATAGAATCTCTGCTTTTACATATGAGCAAAGCCTCAGATTTCTTAAGAAAAAAAGCATGAATTTTCTTTTCATTTTCCAATTTTTGGCATTTTTCTCACATGCATGGTTTTCAACAATATCTGATGATTATGTTCACTAGCCAACACCACACTCATAGCTATGTTTAGAACAAAATATGAATTACAAAAAGTCTAAAAGATAATGCAATTTTGGGTGGGGTAGGAGAAAATAGCAGTACCCACTTTGCAAGTAGAGGAAGATCAGTTTCCTGTCTTGGGCAATCTCATTTCTTTTTCCCTTTGGACATAATCCTTATTCTCTTGTCCTTCAGACTTGGCCCAAGTTTTTTTCTTTTTCCTCCCCCTTCCCATTTTAACCTACAAAACTGCTCATTTATTTTTTTTTTTCTTGTTTCAGTAAAGTTACATTTTTCTTACTTGGCTTTACTGTTGCAAATTATGGTTCATTTTTAAGCATGGATGCTGGAAAAGGCTTCTAAGAAGCCCTACTGTTGCATTATAGAACCAGGCCTTTCATTTTGAATTGTGTTTCTAGATATCCAAGCAGATGTCAAGTCTTCTTTTTAAACGACATCACAAAAAGGATTTATGAATAATTCAAAATCTTGATATTTTTAAACAAAAAGTTATTCTTTTATGATAGATTTAAGAGGCTGCAGAGTTTTACTAAGCTTTATAAGTACTTAAGAACTTTCCAAAACAAAAAGAAAGCTCTATTATAGTTCATTAATTCATTTAAAATACTTTAACTGTGATGCTCATGTAGGAAATGGAGAAAAGGGCTACAGAGAACAAACATTTGTTGAGCAACTATTATGTGCTTGGAACTATGCCAATACTTGCATATTTTTTTCAAGCACAGCAGAACCTTAAAAGACTAGCAAGCATGGATTTACTCACATTGTTGTTGGTCAGGGCCAAGTACTGCAAATTGCTCAGATACTGGATTTCTTCTGGAATGAAGGTCAGGTGGTTATAGCTTAGATCCAAATAATGTAGTTTGGTGCATAGAAAAAGCTGCAAGGGCAGATTCTCAATATTATTATGATCCAGGAAGAGCTGCTCTAGGTTAGATAATGCCCCAATCTGGGCAGGAATATAAGCAATGTTATTGTGCCATAACTTTAAGCAGGAAAGATTCTGAAGATGCTGGAAGCTAATGATCTCTTCCACAGTTTTCAGGTTATTTTCCTTCAGATCTAACTCATGCAAATTGTTCAGGCTGAAAATGGAGTGTGGAATGCGTTCCAGGTCACAGCTGATCAATTCTAGGCTTTTCAGATTGACCATCTTTTTCAAGTTGTTCAACACAACCAGCTTGCTGCCCTCGTTATCAAGGGACAATTTCTGCAGCGAAGGGAGGAGGTCTGTAACAACCTGGGGGATCCGGGACAGGTTGCTCTTCAGGTAGAGGGTCCTCAGGTTTTTTAAATCCTGAAAGGCCTCCAACTGCATGGTGCTTAACTGATCAGGGAGAACACAGCCTGACAGATACAGTTCCTTGAGATTTTTCAGGTGAAATACCCAGCGTGGAATTTTTCCCATTTCAGTGAATTTCAGGCGGAGGATTTTTAAATTTTCCTCTAGGAAGGCCAGGGCAGGGTGGTCGACCACTAGGGAGGAGTGGTACACGTGAAGCTCCTTGAGATTGATCAGCTGTGACACTGCAGAGGGCAGCTTAACCTCGGGGATAAGTTCTAGGCTTAGCACTTCCATTTCGGTTAACTCAAAGACATTGTCAGGAAGACCACTGAGCATAAAAAGATGCAGCTCTATCTTGTCCTGGGAGTTTTTCACAAGCTTACTTTTCAGTTTCTCAACTGTCCACTCATTGTTGAGGTTGATCTGTTTCAGTTTGTTCTCACTGACCTCTGACAGGAATATGGAGAAGCGTTTGGAATAAAGAGGATCATACTGATCGGCCAGATGAAGGATGAAGGCAAAATCATTTTTGACATCTGGGATATCACTGTAGTTACTTTTTTCTCTTAGTGCTTCAAAGGAATATTGCTTCAGGGAACTCCTCAGCATCCACCACAAGCTGTAGGAGGAGGTGAGACCGTAAAGTATTACCAAAATGACATAAAATGAAGCCAGGACCTTAAATATTTCTGCCAAGGAGTAGACACACTGGTAGCGCTTATATCCTGTAAAAGCCTGCACATCAACTGAACAGTCAATTTCAAGAGTTATGTAGGTTAAAAAATATGGAACATAAGTTATGATGAAGACAAACAAAATGACTTTGACTATAATCTGCTTCAGATATACCCGATAAATTATGTCCTTCTGTTCCACATGCATGCGGAATCTTTTCACTTTTTCAAAGATGGCTTTGGCCTGTTCACCCTCCTTTTTGTCCAGGACACTGGAAGTTGGGCTTTCTATGCCAGCTGACTCCAGGCCTGGCTGTGGGTAGGGCAATGACTGCTTGCTGGAATCAATTTCAGCCGAACACCCTGAGGTTGAAAGCAAAGTCTTGGACTTGGAGGGCTTCAGGGGCCTCACTGACTGCTCGGCCACTGTTTCTGAGAGTGCCCGGGTGGTCCACGGAGAATCAAAGCACTTGTGAAGGATGGCCACAAAGTGCTCCAGCCTGGAACTGGTACTGGGGTAGTGAAGCCAGAAGTTGCTGCAGGCTGCAAAAATAAGAGTGTGCAGGAGCACCAGGTAGGGGAAAAACTTTGCAAACCAATGGAGCTGCTTCTCGTAACAGACAGCATCAATGTAGGAGTACTGCTGCCGGTGGAGATCGTTCTGGATTCGAAGGGGGAGAGGAAGTGGCATCTCAGAATTAGAGGATGTGTTCATGCTGGCTTTCAGGATGTCCCAAGGCACGGCGCAGTGATTGTCGAATTCCACTTTGCATGGAAGACAGCACAGAACCCTGCTCTGTGTAAGCTGGAGCGCTCCAGCCAGCACGGCCACCAACAGCATGATGAGAGTGATGTAATACCAGAAGACGTCCCACCATGGTTTTAAGATGTGATAAGATGATTGGGCATCTGCTAAACATTTTAGCTCTGTTAGTGTAATCATGACTTTCCTTTGTATGAGTACAGAAACTGCAGGAGGAAAATAAAAGACACACTAATGAAATGAGCACTCAAATTATGCATTAACTCTAATCCTCGTATGTAACATGTTACCTAGGTAAGATTTAACTCAAGGGTAAAACATGTAAGGTAGGGCTGATCAAGGGCACATAAGTCTTGTGGTTTCATTTAAAACTGCAGCCCAAACCAACTCTGCACTGTCCAGTTCCTCAGATGGGACCATTTCATAAGAGAATGGCTCCATTAAGGGATAAGGGATTACCTTGAGGTAATTATTTACTTATCTCCCAGACCTCAACTCCAGTTTGGGATACTAAAAATTTTCTTCAGCTGACTCTGTAAGAGTCAGTACTCTTGTTTTAGTACTACTACTTTGTCCATTTCATACCCCTAAAAGGTCTGAATAAGTTTCTCCCCACATCCCGCCTCACGAATACATCAAGAATTATGGAGCCTAAGTGTTATTGCAGTCACCACAAGGAGTACCTTGTGAACAAGCTGAGCTTTAGAAAACTATTCTTCGGTCTTAGAGCAATATCCCCATTGCACCTCAAAGCAATCTGCCCCTGAATGGGTTATCTCCTTTCCTTTCTAAGCTCTGGTTAGATTTTTTTTCTCTTTATAATTTAAGTATACAAACATAGAGGATAGATGAAATAAACAGTTTTGGACTTAAGATGCCAAAATACCACAAACACAATGCAGGGTTGGCGGATGGAGTAGCAGAAACATTACTGTATTAAAAAAATGTAAAAAAAAAAAAATGTATGGATTTTAATTGACATGAACAACTTCAGTCAATCACATGACAGCTCTTATGCCAAAACAGTGATACACAACCTTTGGCCGCGTTGACAGTGAACCAGAGAAAAGATGAGGCTTCTGTGTCTGCCTGGAACTCTAATGCTCAATAACAGGTTAAAGATTAAATAGGCAACAAAATAATCAGAAGCTACAACCTAAAACCATTCCTTAGAGAGGAAATAGGGAATTGATGATATTTAGCTGAGATAAAATTGACTGGTGGAAACTGAGAATTTATCTTTACATTTTTGTGCAAATACCTTGTGGATTAAAGAATAAACGGCTTGGTTTCAGAGGCAGAGCAAGGTGGATAGAAGATTTATAAAGTCATATTTTGATCCAGTCTGTTGCTGGAACATCACAGAAATGGTAGATCTTCCAAATAATTTAGCTTCCATCCCCAGCTGAGTCTATATGGATAAAATGACCATCCACCGAGGAGGTTGCAAAGGAATTTCCTGTAATGGATAAAGAGAGTGCACCAGATAATTTTAAAGGGCTTCTTCAGCTCTGAGTTCACAATTTTATTTGTCCTCTATAGGTTCCTGAGAGTTGAATTCATTTAAGACATGCAACTGAAATTGCAAAAGAATAAAAACAAACAGCTCACATGATGATAAAGATACCTGACCGAGAACAGAGATTTACGTGACCAGAAATACAAGCCAGCATTGACCAAAATTAGTTATACTTACTAAAATGGAAAAAAATGAGTCAAATGTATCACTATGTTTCAATCAGGAGGTCTACACCTTTTGAAGTTTCTTAGACACACCATCTCTGAGTCTGTCTTCATTCTATTAAGAAAACATAAATATCTTGAAAGACATGGACTTACTCAAATAAAAACATTGGAGAGACACTTTTCCAAAGACTTTCTCCATCAGCAGACATGACATGGCCAATTGATTTCCATAAGCCACTTTCTTTTCATAGAGGAGCCCATTTAGGCAAAGCTATAATTCAGGACACCACCCACACTCATCAGATCACACTTCCTGAATTTTGTTTAAATCAGAGAAGTTTCTACAGACATTTAGGTGCAACGTATTTTAAAATTCTGTATTTATAACACTTAGCTTTCTCCAAATAAATTACATATGCTAATTTCTCTCACTGAACCTCATACACAGTTGGTCTTATTTGCATTTATCAGATGGCTTGTCAAACCATGTAATTTCTGTTCCCTGATTTAAAACTGCATCTATGCAAATAAGTCTCAAAGCTCCAAAAATTTAGCTTACCAATTTCATTAGAAAAAGATGCAACACTTTTTACACATAACTCAGACATATGGCTAAAATATTCCTAAATTTATTAGTTATTAAAAATATCAAGCTGAACTAGACACGGTGGTACACACCGGTAGCCCCAGCACTCAGGAGACTGAGGCAAGAGGAACGCCGTGAGTTCAAAGCCAGCCTGGGTTACACAGTGAGTTCAAAGCCAGCCTGAACTACAGTTCAAAACAAAACAGGAGAGTAACAGCAATGAATACATTGTGTCTTGCTATCTTTAAGTTAGTTACTCAGAGTACAAAACATAGACATTTAATTGTTCAAACAATAGTAGCATAAATCTTTCTTTCGATAAATTAAGAGCAATTAGTAGTATAGTGTAACTATCTTAACTACTGTATGTAAGGCTTTCCCCTTCCTTCTTTTCTCCTTTCCCCCATCCCAGTTTCTCTTTCCTTTTGAACAGTTTCTTCCCATTTCACAGTATCGGTTATGCATTTTCGATCTTATTTACTTTTCAGCTTCTCCACTCTAGGGAGACAATATGATGTTTACATATGAGTCTGATTTATTTCGTTTGTGAGTATGGTCTTGACCAAGCATTCGGTTACTTATAAAAGTCTCCAGCTTATCCTTCTTTATGACTGAGTAGTACTCCATTGTACAAAAAGACCACTTCTTTTATTCGTTCCTTGGTTGATGGGATGTTATACATTTTGACACTGTCTCTGAAAACGAGACATCAATCCCACCTGACAGCAGTATTCTAAAATAATCATGAGAAGTGACTATGAACTCATCAGCAGGACTGCAAATGAATTAGGATTGCCATAATTATTCTAACTTGAAAATTAATTGTATAGAACTTTTTCTATTTTCCTTTTTAAAAACTATAAACTTAACTGCATGTGGTAGATGTGTACCCTTAATTCTAGGACTCAGGGAGGTTGAGTCATTTCTGGGAAATTTGGCTAAACTCTGCCTCAAAATTAAAGAAAAGAAGGCGGCCAGCAGCAAGGAAGGAAGCAGGAAAGAAAGAAAAAGGAGGGGAGGGGAGGAGAGAAGAGAGGGAAGGAAGAAGAGAAGTGCGGATGGAAGGAAGAAAGGCAGGCAGGTTGACCGGCTGGCCAAACTGGGTTTACTCGCCCAGTACCACAAAACAAACAAAACAAGAGAACTATAAATTATCCTCTATTCATCTAACTCAAAGTTCTTTTGATGGGTTGCTTATCAGTAAGAGTGAATAAAAATCTATTACTAATAATCTATTATCTGCTTGTTTACTTTCATAGAGCATTTCACTTATATTCATTTCAGAAGTCACTGAAATAAATGGTTCTCCTTTTCACATAATAAAAACGTGGAAAATGAAAATGGGCCAAAGAATTAACCTTGCTCAAGGTAACAAAGTTGGCAAGAAAAAAATTACAACTGGAGCTTAAGAACTCAGCTCCCACGCCTTGTTCACTCCAAACCACAAGGCCTCACCAAATCCAATTAACTATGCCACGTCTCAGTTTTCTCAAAAGCTGGAGAAAAAGCTATTTAACTCTTTCCTTCAACCTTGTAACTGGGTTCATTATAATCCTGAAAAACAAGGATGCAAATTAGTTTTCTGCAAAGTCTCCAGCTGCATGGCTACATATCATGTAGCCTACTTTCTTAGCTAAATATTTTTCTACTATATATTTTCTCCTGAAGTATCTAAGACTTAATGTTTAAATGCATAGCATCTGAATTTAAGGATGCATGCAAGTTTCAACCATTCCTGTATGTCAAATGCTGCTAATTTTTCTAACTGAAGGGCTTAACTGGAGTTAAATTCATAATACAACCTAACACTCTTTGTGTGTGTCCCATACTTTTTCCAGACCATATTTTACCAAATAATGAGAATTGAATCCAAATAATATCCTTATTTCTAATATACAAAGGCATCAAATCAGTTGAAAGAAATGATGTTAAGAGTAAATGAATTTTATGATCCTAATCCTATTCTTTTAACCTTTAAATCTCTTGGACAAGCCTAAAAGCTTGTCAAAGCACATGAATTCATCTGACAGTTTCATCCCAAAGACTCTAAGACTGCAACAACAACATCAAGCTGGCACCTTTATTTCTCAGTAGTCCTTTTACTTTGAACATATTTCGAAAACAACCAGTGAAACATAAACAAATGATCAGATGGTATTCAGAGTCATTATAATTCTGGGAGGCGGATTCTACTTCAAAGACCTGTCTCATATTTCAAGCAAAAAGTGGGGTTCTCTACCTGACTCTTCTAAAAATTGATTTAAAAATTATCTTACAATCCTCAAAAATGTTCAGTGCTACTTCCCATCAGTATGTTACTTGGGTCTTGCCTATATCTAACTGAGATTTAAATTTACCTCTTGGAATTCTTTCTCTTGGAAATGACAAATGAGTATTTCTGATTAATTTACCCCTCTTCTTATGCTAAATAATCCCTTTACTCTTCAGAAATCTGTGGACAAGCATTTGACATTTCTTGTACTTAGGTGACCATCGGCAAGGACACACTTGATACATCACTCTCCTTATGTCCCTTACCAACTCTTTCACATCATACAAGTAGAAATTTTCAGGTAACAAACATTCTTTCCAAACATAGTGGCAGTTTTGAGACCAAGAAAGGAGACTAAGATTTAGTTACTACAGAGTTTTTCTAACATTGATGTCCATAAAAATCACCAACAGCTTAGTACAACACAGTGATAAATCCCACAATCAAGAGTTTCTGATTTGTTGGGTCTCTGTTTCTAACAAATGCCTTCTTAATGTTGATGCTATTGGTCCAGGGACCAGCTTTGGAGAATCACAAGTCTAAGATAGCAGTTCTCAGTTGTGGCTGCCTTCACAATGGAACCACTTTTATAAGAAGCCTAATCATAAGCCCCACTTCCACAGAGCAGTTCAAGTGGTCTAGGTGAGGGCCAGAATTATTCCTGGAATAAGAAACTTTACATGATAAATTGCCAATAAACTATCTGTAAAAGGGTCTACCTTTTAAGTCTTCTTGAAAGTTGCACTAGATGGCTAGGATACTCTTCTGCACAGACCAGAGTCACAGCTACCACCCCTATATGAGACCTTCAGAGACGCAGGTATGCAAGAAAGTGAGTGTTTGAGCAACAGAGATGGACTGAAGGAGGAGAGATCAGAAACACAGAGCCAGCTGAAAGTCTATTTCAATCATGGGATAAGAATAAGACAAATAAATTGTATACTTTTCAAAAGAGAGAACAGTTGAAATAGTTACTTTGTTTTGAATCTTGACTGTCCCCCCCAAGGCTTATACATTGAGAGTGTGGCTCCTAGTCTGTAGAACTACTGAGAGAAGGTAGAACTTTAAGAGCTAGGGGCTAGAGGAAGAATTTATTGTCGGGATGGCCTTTGAGGGGATACTGAAACCAGGTCCCTTCCTTTTTCTGTTACTTCCTGGCCACTTGGAGGTAAGCAGCTTTGTTGGCCAAGGCTGCTGCCACAATGTGCAGTCTCACTGTAAGACCTGGAAGAATGGGGCCAACCGGCCATGGATCGAAACCTCTAAAACCATAAGCCAAAGTGTACCTTTCCTTTTTAAATGTAACTATCTCAGGCATTTCATCTTTTTTTTTTTTTTTTTGACTAGTCGAGTGCAGTAGTGAGAAGGGGGGAAAGAGTTGAACAAGGAGTTCAATCTGTACTGACTGTGAACAATCAATTGAGATAACTCACTACCTTCGGACCGGCCCAGGCATTTCATCTTAGTAATAAAAAGTTAAGTGAAATTCAATCACAACTACCAACATGGATAGAGGTTCATGCAAAAGTGGGAGACAGATTTAGATCTTACTCTTATGCTCTTATTGTATTCTCACAATACATAAAGTTTCTAGTACATAGTATACTATGTACATAGTATAAAGCTTCTAGTACATAGTACACAATGAATGTAAAATATGCTAAGTGTATAAAAAATGCAAAATACAGGGGAAAACCTTTTTAAAGATTTTTATGCAGGGTTATTAAAAGTAACAGAGTCTTTAAGGTGGTCTTAGGAGGCATGTGGTTAGAACTCAGCATCATATAAGGAGGGATTTTGAAATATTTCACTACATATTCTAAACCCTGATTTTTTTTTTTTTTTTTTAAATTAAGGCTTTATTTCTCAAGGTTCTCTGGGGGGTTCTTCTACTTTATGCTACTGGGTAGTACAATGGTAACTGGGAGGTCCAAATGTACTCATTCAGCATGCTGGCAGTTGCCCACTGATGGCTGATAACTTCTTCATAAGGAGACGCTATGTGGTACTTTATGTATCTTAAAGAGCATGGCGGATTCTGAGGTAGTGCATTATCTACACACACGTCAAAGTCACAGATCTTTCAAATCATAGCATTTAAAGCCACAAAGAGCTACATGTTATGAAACCTTTTAATCGAGGAAGCCATAAGGCCAGTCCAGATTCTAGGTGGAAAGCAGCAGATTGTACCTTTCAGTGGCAAGAATGACAAAGAACGTGTAGCCCTGCTTATTCCACCACGGGCTACCCTCTGTCCATAAGTGACTTATGTTCCTCCTGCATACAATCTACCGGCCCTCTCCCAAAAGTTTCACCCCACCAGGGCTTCCAGTTCAGGCACAAACACCACGATTGTGCCATCTGAATTAAGTGCAGAATAGGATAATGCCGCTGAGACTCTTAAAAGCCCTTTCTTTCATCTAGCGTATAGGACGCTAGGAGGGATGGACTTAGAATTATTTGAAGTTTTAATACAAGGTCTTACAGCTGTGCCTTTGCCTTTTTACTTTACCTTGAGGCCATGGTGTACTGGCAGTAGTGCTGTGGATTTGACCTTTGGACACGAGCCTGATTCTTTTTTTGAGTACCTTTTGTTGTGTGGAAGAGCTGGGAATGAGAAGTAGTTTTATTTACAACCCTAGAAAATTCTGGATTAGAAATATGTCCTCTAAAGTCCAAAGTAAAAATTGAACAGTTTCTTCTTAATCCATTTTTTATAATACTGTGGTCATAGAGGGTCTAAACAATGAACCAGTTTCTGTGTGCAATATTATGCTAAAAAAATTAGATCCACAAGTTTTTTATGCTACTGGTTACATGTTTATGTTTTGTGTTGCACGTATGTAATGCAGTTGTTACATGGATATTACCTGCATGTTAGCTGTTATATATAACTATGTCTATGTTACATGTTACTGTAGGTGATACTTCTGCTAATGTTATGTCTATATTAAAACAAGGGTACCACTTTATATCTTCCAGTTGCAATTTCCTCACTGACATTTAGTTACCATTAATAGTATTCTTACTCCGCCAAAGGCATTCTCTGCCACCTCCTCCAAAGGTAATGCCACATATTTTCTTATGGCAGATATCAATTTCGGTGTTTGGTTTCTTATTCTGTGTACCAAACCACACTAAATCTCAGTGACTAAATAACAATTCATTATTTCTCTCTGTTTTGTGGCACTTGTGTCATATAGCATGTGCTGGGGTGACCAGAAGGTCCAAAGTGCCTCAGTCCCTGGCTGGTACTGGAGAAGAACAGAATCTTTGTCCAGATGAGGAAGAATCATTAGATGAAGTATAAAAGAGCAGTAGTATCACTGAGATAATGGAGTTTTTTTTTTTTAATTTTTATTTTTTCCAAATACCAAGAATTACTGAGCTGTATCTTTAGCTATTTTTATTTTAGACAGCATTTCAGCAAGTGGCTCTGGCTTGTCTCTTCTACCTCAGCCTCCTAAGTAGCTGGGATTGCAGGCATGTATTTTGGGAACTCATAAATTAAAAGTTTCAAGGAAAGAACCTGACATCATTGTCAAATAATACAGAGAAAACCAAAGAAGAACAGAGATGTGTATCTACCATTTGGCAATTTGCTATTCAAAGCTGTAGAGAGGTAATGGTTCTGTGACCCAGTGAAAAAAACCTTTTTAAATATTGAGAAAATCACCCTAATCATCAAGCCCCAGGAGACAGTGACTAAATAAATTAAATGGAATACATAAGAAATACAGTTAGTGAATGAATTAAAAACCATGGGAACAACTCGACAAATCTTAACAAAATGTGAATTGTCCTGAACCTTGAAGAACACTGTTTTACTATTCCTTGTTTCTAGTGGCTCTGAAATATATATTTAACTTATATAAATGCATTTTAAGGAAAATACCTCAGTTATTTGATGCTGGTAGTAGGCTGCCATGTTATCTAAACATTGCAAGTAAAGACATTGATGATTAAGCTTAACCATCACAAATATGTAGCTGCTTTAGATGGGGATTGTCAGGGAAGCTCATAAAATACAGATTAACATAGAGCCAGTCACCAGATCAAGTTGAAGCAGATCATTCCAGGGAGAAGGAATAACAGGAGTAGGATGTGTGAAGATCAAAAAGGAGGCCACTCTGGCCGGAATCAGAAGCCTAGAGAAAAGTGAGTGCCACATAGCCTGCAGCCAGAGTAAAGAGCTTGGATAATAAATAATCCAAGAGTGACAGAAAAGTCACTGAGGAGTTAAAAATCAAGGACAGAAAGTTCTGTTATCAGCATTTAAAAGTTTACAGTCAGCTCAATAAATCAGAATGTAAACAGACATATATCCTCTCTAATTGAAAAAAAAAATCAAAGGTTTTTCACTTTTTACCTGTAAAAAGAAAAGTTCAGAATACAGCAGGTAACAGATCTACTGTTCTCACCACTGAATTGCCTTGATTATATGTTTATAGCTGGGTGACACTTTTAAGACATATCCTGTATTCACGTTCCTAATTTATCGTGTCTATGTCAAAAGCTCTGCCACAGAACTAACAAGATTAATCTTCTGCAATTATAACAGGAGAATGATGTTTGTGAGAAGCAACAGAATATCGGGCTTATTTAATTCTGTCTTGCCCAGTCAAGAAAAGAATGGGCATCTCTCACAGAATCACAGTAACTTGATTCTATGGATTAAGGACGCTCCCTTAAAGCATCAGAAAGAGACAGACATGGATTTTCAAGTCTCTCATAGATATTTACTATTTTTTAGATCTTTAAGGTTAAAAAAGAGGACAAGTATTATACATAGGCAAATATAGTAGATATTTTCCTGCTTACCAAACCCACAAAGGACAGGAAGATGGCATTTTAATTAAAATATACAAATTTAAATTTGTTTTAAAAACATCCTAAGGCTTTACTTGAAACATCTGTAACAATAAGGATCTTTCTATTTTTTTACCCCAAGCTACCAACTTAATTGTAATTATCTTCACCACGTGATCACAATTCAAGACATTTATCTTACCCTATGAATGCTGGTCAACTGGAAACTGCAATTAGTTTCAATTTGAGGAATTCCTAAAGAGAAATCATAAACATATTGTCATATATTATACATCACGGACTATAAGATTATTTATCTACTTACATGGTTCTAAAATTTTTAACAGGTATAATAATTTTATAAAACATAAAAGGATAACTTTTTTTTTAAAAAGTAAGTACTTTTTAAAAAAAAGATCAGCCTATGACCTCTCATAAAAGGTATTAATACCCCGGGAGAGAAACAAGTCATGTAACAAATTACATATACAATCTCATCACAATGATAATGTGCAAGACATAAAATGTGAGTATTAAATTTTTAACAGAGAATAACTATTGTATCTGAGGCACTGGTTATTTTACAAGTAAAAGAAAAAACCCACTGAAAAATGTATTCTTCCTGGATTCAACAGAAAGGAAATGACCAGAAAATACTTAATATTTGGGGGCAGTTTTTGTCATCTAATTTGATAATTATTTTTGTTGTTTGATAATCTGCTAGTTTGATTCATGACACAATATTAAGATTTGATTTTGCCTCATTATATATCATGGACTTTCTTAACATTGTTAAAGTTTTCTCTAAACATCATTTGGGTAGAAGATAATAGTTTATACATGAATATGTCATAGTTCACAAAACCACTCCCCTAATGAACTTTTAGATTTTCTTTTCTTTTTCCCCAACAATGTAAACATCTGTATACTGTACTCTGTCATATTTCCAAAATAAGAGCACTGGGCCAAACATCGAGAACCTTTTAAAGTTTCTGGTATACAGTATTAATTTATTCCACCCCCCCCAAAAAAGTTGTAGTAATTTTCTTTCTTATAAACAATGTACTAGTAGTACTCTCAACAGGTATGAGTTGTCATTTAAAAAAATTTGCCAATTCCACACATGAAAATTAGTATTAGTTTTATTTTGCATTTCTTTGAATTAGGTTGACTATTTTCTATCATGTATATTGATGCATTTCTTTCCCTTCTCTATTCAAATTTACTAAAATCAGAGGAGTATTTTGCTAAGAAGACATAAACGCAGAATTTAATGAAAGCTCTCAGAGAGAAGCCATTGCTACCATGTAAAAGAAACACAATGTAACATAGTTTCTTTAACCAGGCTAACACTAAGTGGTTCAAACCAATCTTAGAAACTGTAGCAAGTGTTATCCTCTTTCCTCCTCTTCAGCATCATACAACAGTAATAAACTGGAGGAATGAAATCTGAAAATACTAATTAGAAATGTTTCTTAGAATAAATTATTCCTACCAGGCAGGATAAAGCAGACCCAGCAGCCTGCTATGCTAATTAATAAGTGTTACCAAACTAGCTTTAACTACCCCTCAGAACATTTTCTCTCCCTATAGGTTGGACACAACATTGTATATTTTAACCCTGAAAGTCAATTCCAAGATAACCTTTCAAGCAAAGTACACTGGAAGGTTTGGAGAAAACAAGCATACCACTGAGAATTCCCTTCTTTCTCAAATAAGAGGTCCTTTTAGAAGGCTCTCAACAAAGGACATAAGGAAATCTCCAAAGTGACCAAGGATTAAGGAACAGTAGATGCCATAATCTGATCTTTGATAGAAAAACAAAAGATCCCAAGGTTTTTACTGTTAAAGTAGACAAGTCTGGATGCTCTTTCTTCCCTCTGGTCAGCACAGATTAGGGTCAACAAAATAAATTTCTCTATAGTAGGGCAAGAATCTGCTATTCAGTTTTGGAACCTGAAATGAACTTCACATGAACTTCTCAAAGTGATAAGGCACATAAAATAACAAAGGAAAGATCTAAGCAGCTGCCAAAAATTACTCATTTATTCATTTTTCTGGTGCTAGAAATCAAAACTAGACCGTTGCACATGCTGGGAAAGTGCTCCAGCAGTGAAAGTATCCCCAGCCCTCAGTCAAGAATCACTGAGAAGGACCTGAGGGTGAATGCACAGTCCTGGGACATTGTACAGGTCAGCTATGGGGGAGTGAAGCTACGGTCGGTAATGTCATACTCACTCACTCTGCCTTATGCAACCTGTAAGTTCAAGTATATAGTTAAGTACACAGTTAAGTTCTCTTATACCATCAAGTTGAAAATTTCAAAATCAATGTCCTAAAAGGAGGACACTGACATTCATCATCTGTCCCATTCAGGACTGTATAGAAGCTCTTCATGGGCCACTCTGACCACCACAGGCAGGGTTCCTTTGCTTCTGTTTATGGGATGCATATTTACAGATATTTTTCTTAAACTGTTTATGGTATATGTTAATTGCCTGAAGTTCCTTGAGCTCTTATTTATGGGGCAATGTTTTATTTATTTAAGCCCCAGAAATCAATCACAGTGTCTTTTCAGAGCTAGATTAAAGAAGATAATGAAAGTTTTTATTTGTAGTTTAGATTTCTCATATAAGAGAAACCATGCAGTACTGAAGTTGTGTTTCTAATTTATTTCACTTTATATTATGGTCTCAAGGTGCATCCATTTACTCAAAATGTAAATAAAAATAAAAGATAGGTAATAGGAAGTAGATCTTTCTCAACTGGGAAGGGGAATAAGAAATGAAGGGGAAGGAGGGCAGGAGAAGGGAATGAAAAAAAAATTTTAAAAAAAGTGTAAATAGAGCTTTTGTAAATGGGAAGACAACCAAGAGTTGGAAAGAGCAGGGAGGGATTGGAAGAGTCAGGATGAAAAACAAATTAAGATGGGTTATATACATATACAAGTCACAGCAATAAATGTAATTGTTAATTACTGTGAACATGTACTAAGGGGGAAAAACGGAAAAACAGCAGGAGAAAATAATGGAAGTGGCTGGAAGGAAGAAAAGGGTCCTAGCTGCTATTTCTCTGGTCAGCTGAGATCCCGGAAAGTGGCAAAAGGGAGAACTAGAGGGGTTCTTAAATTTTCTCTCTCCACATGCAAAGTATTTGGTTTTTCCACTTAAGTGCTGTGAACAAATATTTAAAAAGTAAGTCTGACAAAGTATCAAATCTTTAACCTAACCAATGCCCAGAGTAATAATGACTGATTGGCACACCTCGGGTGACCCCAGGTCTGGTTACGCCCAGTGTGCACCATGAGTATCTTAGTAGTCATCACTGAATGATTACACGACATGATGCCAGACCAAATTCCATTACACAGTTAGGAACCAGGAGGCCTGGCTCTCAGAAAATGTGAACATAATTTGTACGCAAGGATGCTAGCAAAGAACGTGGTAGAGACAGAGCCACAGGCATTTTCATTTTACCATTGCAGGTACAGAGATCAGGTGCATGGGCTCAGCCTTCACCTTTCAGGAATAAATAAGAAAAATTCATACCTGCCAACTTAGCCACCAAACACGACATCTCACAAATGGAATGTAGAACTGTTGTCAAATTCAGCATGACTGGCTGCATTAGAATGACTGTAAGTCATTTTGAATTAGTGATGGGCCACTGCATAATGACACCACATTCTTAAATGACCTAAATATCTTACCGAATTATTTCACAATTTTTTTTTTACCATGTTAGCCTTATAATGCATCAGGAATAATGCTAAGATGAAACTAGCAAGCTATCGCCCAAACGAGGATGTTGCATACTGTGCTGTTCTATGCCTACTAATTGTATTGTTTGCTTTCTGTCAAGACCATGAACTCCAGGAAAGTGAGGACCTTTCTTGTCTTCAAAAGGCCTGCATGAGCCAGGGATTTAGCTCAATGGCATAAGCACCTGCCTGGCAAGCACAAGGTCATGAGATCCCTAGTATCCAAAAAAATAAAAATAAAAAATAGAAGAAGAAAAAGAAGAAGAAACAACAACAAAAGGCCTGCCATATATCAGGTGCTCCATAAATATTAAGATTCCACAAACCTGTGAGCAGTAATCAGGCTAACAATATTGCATATCCTTGGATAGTTTTAGTTTTATAAAGTTAGTCACCTTTAATAGTAATCACTATAAAGAGTGCTGTATTTGTTGTAATACAGTACTTGACACAATGACAAAAATTAAATTGCTAGGTACTACAAATTAGCTATAGTTGCAAGTTAGTCTAGCCAAGCTTCAGCTAACTTCTGACCAAAAAACAGGTTTAATACCCAACAGTTGCTAAGTGATCATGAAGCATAAAAGTCTTTTTTTATTTATTGTAATGGGGTCAAACCTAGGGCCTTCCCAATGAGACACATCCCTGAAACATGAAAGATTCTTAAAATGAACGCTGCTACCTGACTGGTTCCTCCAAATCAGTAGTCATGCCATACTTTACCTTTTTTTAAAAATTTTTTTGTGTTAATGAGGATTGAATCCACAGCTTTCACACTGAAATATATCCCCAGCCCTTTTAATTTTTTTTTTTTTTTTTAGTTTTGAGACAGAGTTTCACTACATTGCCCAGCCTGAGCTTGCAATCTCCTGTTTCAATGTTCCATAGTCCTGGGCTTACATGCATGCATCACCATACCCAGCTAAGTCAATCTCATACTTTCTTAGCATTTGAGAGTGTATTATACTTCCATTAAGCTATATCACAACTATCTGGTTAAAACCTTTCCTGTCTCTGAGGTCTTGGAATAGTTGAATGTGCAGGACAGAGCAATGGAACAAATTCCCAACAATTATTTCCTAAGTGCACAGGAACGATAGGAGATAGAAAGGGGAAGGCTAACATTGGTACTGGGTGAAGTAGTTATTATGATCTCAGTTCTGAAGGTAAGAAAGCTGAGAAATCAGAGAAATAAAAAAACTTTCTCATGTTCACAGCAAACCCAGAATTCACACCAGTGCTAAGAGCCATCTGCTGCACAGCCTTCTCCAAAAGCTATATAAAAAGGAGTTTTATATAGAATATGGCATCTCTCTTTTTCAAATCTATAATTCATCTTTTAGAGAAAAGAGATGATTAAAAAATGAGATCTACATTTCTGTTCTAGTTCATCATCCAGTATTCCTTCTAGCAAAACAGAGCTAACAAGAGCTTCTTCCATCCTGCCTGCCTATTAAGTAATTAAGATTGACATGATAGATAGCTAGAGTAATGTTGCATCCTGCTTGAACAATCTCATACAGAGAAACATGCACCCTCCAATTTAATAACACGATAAATAACCTACATTTAATCTGTATGTAAATGATCGTATTTTGCATGGTTTTTGTTCCTGGCATGCACAGAAGTTAAAATAAATTTCATACCACCTAAATACAGCCTGGTTTTGAATGGATTAATAAAGAAACATCATTTGCCTTCAACATGTTAAGTTACAGTGTTAGGTCTGGTTCTTATCCTAAAATCTTAAAGAACATTCAGAAGACCTGGAAGAGTGAGTAGCTAGCTAACTTGCTAAGATCAGTGTCTTTGTCATTTACCACCTGTTGCATTGCATATATGCTATCCAAGTATCACCTTTCTCATCTATAAAATTGTAAGAATGGTAGCTTCTGCTGAATGAAATTGTTTCAGGAAGTAAATAAGGCAACTATAAATCAAATGCTTATCATAGAAGCAGGGATAAATCAAGCCCTTAAAATGGTAATTTATTAACATAATAGTGGCTTTATCTAAGATTAATCATTTAAAGCTTGGTTCTCTACTATTATCCTACTATAATCAGACTTGCTATTAAGGAGTTTAGCTTTCCACCTAATTAATGATTTCCAAGTCAGATTTAGAATGTATCACATTACTCCAGAACTGTAAATTTTCTCAAACATGTACCATATGGACCACAAGGAAAACAAAGTTTTGTTGAGCTAAAACAATACACTGAGATGCAACATGTAAAGAAAGTTAGTATCTTAGTTATTTTTCTTGTTGCTGAAACCTGACACCCACAAGTTAAAGGGCAAAGTTTTACTTTAGCTCACAGTTTGTGGAGGTTTCAGTCCATAGTTAACTGGCTCCAAGGCAGGGTAGCATGGTGGAGGGGCATCAAAGAGGAGAAACAGTTCATGACAGGCAGGCAGAAAGGAGCAGCAGCAAGCAGACTTTCTCTTTTATCCCATCCAGACTACAAACCTTTTGGGCAGTGTCACACCTAGGGCAAGCCTTCTGTCTTCAGTAAATCCACTCAGCCACACCCAGAACTACGATAATTCCAATCAGTACACCATTTTAGTATTACACGCCTCAATACCACTATCACATTCCCTAGATTCAGCCAGCTCTGAAAAGCCCCACCTATCAGTGCATGAGGCTTTGGGGGTCATCTAGATACAAAACCCAACAGTCTGTGAAGTTATCTTCACCCTTTGACACAATCTCAGTCAAGATTTCTGCTGCAGACAAGTCAAATATGACCAATGGACCCCTAGCCAAGGGCTGTCTTTAAAATCTACAATAATCATGGTTGTAGAACAGTATGAATCAGCCTAATGTTACTGAATTGCACATTTAAAATGGTTAAAATAGTATACCTTGCATGTGTATTTTACCACAAATATCATAATCATATAAAAGAAGAAAATTATTTAGTGCTTTAAAAGGAATACAAATCATACAAATTTAACATACATACAGTGGGGCCCTCAATGTTTTAGAAAACAGGCAAACACACAAAGCTTTTTTTTTTTTTTTTTTTTTTGTCTTTTTGAGACAGGGTGTCACTATGCAGTTCAGGGTGCTCTTGAGCTCACTTTGAAACCCAGGTTGGACTTGAACTTGCAACAGTCCTCCTGCTGAATGCTAGGATTACAGGTGTGGACCACCATGCCTGGCTAAAAAATAGTATTTTAATGTGTCAAATTTGCTTTGCCTATGACTCACAGTACACTATAATAAATACTAAATAATTATCAATTTTGTTTGTGACTCTGAATTAGAAGGATTTGGTTAGGAGACATGTTAGATTCCCCAGATTTTTCCAAAAAAAAAAAAAAAATGCTTAGGTTTTTTTCTTTTTCTTTTTTTTTTGTAGGTAAATGGCCATACATAAGCTAAGATAGTAAGAAAATTTCCAGTGGTTAGTGAGTTAAATGAAAATGAATTTTGTGATTTTTGTTTTTAACTAACGTAACCATTTAAGCATACACATTTACAAAACATTAAGTACAGTAATAACTTTAGATGGCTTTGAAGTACTGGACCTCCCCTTGTTTAGAAGGTCAGCCTATCTGTATCAGAGGCATTAAGGACAGCATAATGTATGCCCTTAAAATCTACAATAATTTTGTAGAAGTAGCAGGTCATAGTGAAGAGATGTGTGAGTGTTTTGTGTATGCATGTGTGCACACATGTGAGTGTTGGGAAGTGGTTAAAAGACAACATTTATAACCCCAGGGGCTTAGTGATAGCTGACTTACTTACTGGGCACTTACATGCATCAACAGATCAACTCCCAAGAGTTTCAGAATAACCACCTCATTTTTGCAGGATTGGCTTGTTTCTTCCTTGCTCTGTGGATGTATAGAGTTGAAATCCCCACCAAAAGCACGAGTGGAGGCAGTTGGCCCTGTCAAATGAAAATCAATTTAATAACAGAGAAATAGCTACTCTACTTTCTCATGGAACTACAGTCAGTACAGTAGAGGGCAACAGGAATGTGATAATGTGGTTGGGTTGTCACAAAAAGGAAAGTAAACATCAGTGAGGCACGGGGAAGAATTAAGACTGTCTCTTTCTAAGACAGCTGCTTCTGGATTTGTTAGGAGATCGAAGTGATTGAAGGTAGTGAGTGGGAAACAAACCTCTTCTTGCTTCCTACCTTTAGCCTCTTGGGAGTTTCCTTCCCAGGAATGCTAGGATTTGACTCCCAAAGGCTTGGTTAGTATATTCTGTGGTCATATAAGGGATTTAGCAGCTGTGCCCACAATGCCCAATGGGTAACTAAAAACAGAATAGAACTGGCATCTCTGCCTTCATTTTTTTTTTTTTTTTTTTTGGTACTGGGGATTGAATTTATGACCTTGCATTTTCCAGCCAGGCATTTGTGCCACTGAGCTAAATCCCTGGACTCTGACTTGATTTTGTATCTGTATCCTTTATTACCTTAAAACTTTGGGTCAGATCCCTGCTTAACTTACATATAGGAAGGTTAATTACTTGAACATCTGTCTAAAAACCAGTAATACAACATTCATTAGACCTAAATTTACCTAGCCTATCTTATTCTCCTTTAAGGCTGAGGATATAGGAGTAACTACCATATTTTCAAGATTTGTAGGGATATCTAATTGCCAGCTTTTGCAAGATCCTATCCTAGAAATCTACAGCCATTATCTTAAACCTGCAATCTCCTTAGATTCCAGGAAAAGCTGAGACTTTTAAAAAGATCAACCCATGATAAGATCACTTCCAAGTGGCAGCAACTATCCCATGGTGGAAATGAGGCTATTTTCTAAGCAGTCACTTCACAGGAACTGGATTTCACCCTGGAGTCCTAAGGTCTTCCCTGGAGCCACACTGTAGAACCAGTCCTGAGATAACTATCAGGATTGGTAATCATGGACTGGCCAGGATTACCTACTCTGCCAGCTACTCAAACCTTCAAACCTTGTCTTTTCCATAACAGTGCAAATTTCCTGTCTGGACCCTGAAGTCACACCTTGAGCCTTTGTATCTGTCCTTCCCATGTGGATATGCTCATTTCTTTGGAGTTAAGGGATGGGAGGCCAAGCCTGGTCTATGGGGACCCTGGGAGCTGGGGCTTCCTCACAAAAGCTCCAGTAATAGTCGTAGCAATCACTGATCATATGACAATAGCTCACAAAGGAAGATAGGGCATTTCACCATATGTGAGTGTGGGGCGCTGCGGCCACTCAGGAACTCCAACAAATCAGTTTAGTCACCTCTCACTTCACCATGCTGGCTGCACTGTGGACTTTGCCAGTCTGAACCACTGTTGCAGAGGGAAGAATATTGTTGTTTAAAGCTTTTTACTCTGTCTCTGTCTGTGTCATGGAGTTGGTGCTCACAAACATGGGGCATCATTGCAAAAATTTTCTTTGCTTACTGGTCTGCAGCAATCAGTTATCAGTCATTTCTAGAAGAGGTTTTCCTATTGCTGATCTCTTGCCCTATAAATGTTTTGAGGCCACTTTAGGTAAAAGCTATGGCTCCATTTTTATTTACTTTCCTATGTTTTGTTCACAAGCCCCAGGGGCCAAGGGTTGACTGAATTTAGTCTTACGTCACTTTTCTACTTCCTCCACCAGGGGCTGGCTTTTCACAGTGGCAATATGGCAAATGTATACTTGAGTCCCAGGCCTGTCTCCACCATCATCTATGTGGCCGTAAATCTAGATCCTCATTCTGTCAGCTTTAAAATACAAGCACACTAGCCAATGAGATGATACTAATGGTAAAATAAATGTCGTGGAAATACACTGAAATCATTACAGTGACAAATGAAAAGGGAACTCATACAAAGTCAATTCTTCTTCTGCTAAAATAATTTAATCTTTGCCATTGGGACATTAATTTAGACTGAAGTAGAACAACCCAGGAGGTAAGCTTTATTTATACCACTTTGATTCCAAGGAATCATAACAGCAAGGACTGTAAAGTCATTGACAGTCTATAATAGTTAAGCCCTATTACACATGTAAAAGAAACTGTCCCAGGAGTCCAGGGACAATAAACATGTGGCCCAAACACAGTATATCAGTGATCCCTTTCACTGTGATAAAACAACTGGCACAAAATTCTTTCTCAAATCTACCTTTCAATAATGGACCAATAATGGATCAGTTGACTGTTTGTCAGTTGGGGACTTGGAAAAAGAAAGGAACCAGTAACATCATCCATAATCTGTGATTTACAGTGCCAGTGAAGTGCAGCTATTCCTACCTGCCCAACCCAGAGAAGGTTTTTGAAAACCTAGCCAGCCAAGGCTGCTTATCTCTTCCAACTTCTATATTCCCTGGAAGAAGGTGTGGGAAGTGATGAAGCATTAGGCAAGAGCTTTAAGACAGAAGCAGGCTGTTTTGAAATAACAAGCTATTACATAACTTACACTTTATGTAAAATGTCTACTTTCACCTTAGTTTTAATCCAACCTTTTATCTCCAACTTAGTAACTGCTGGGAGTCAAAATCGTAAATTGCCATTTGCTCTTTAATGAGCAAGGAAAAATGTCTCCTTTACTTTTAGGGGAAACATAATGCCACATTCCTTCTCAGACTACTTCCTCTGACATCAACTGGGTGCCTTAAAATTCAGAGTTAGTCTTTATTAACTAGTGGAGTTAGCATCAGACTGCACAGGCTTGATGGCTAGGTGCCACAATGCTACCCACACTTTACATGCCAACTCAGGTCCCAGGTACCCCGGCTACCCACACCTGTCTGATGTGACTATTGATGTGGGTGTTTCCACATCTTCCTTGTTTGATGATTTACTAGGATGACTCACAGCATGCAGAAAAACACCTTACTTTTATCAGTTAGTTATAAATGATACATTCAGGAATCATTAAATGGAAGAGATGCCTAAAGCAGGGCCCTGGGGTGAGGGGTGGCTTTCCTGTGTTTTCCATATATGCCACCTCCCAGCACTTTGACATGGTCCCCGACCTGGAAGCTACTTGAATTCTATAATTTAGGGATTTTTATAGATTTCATTACATAGGGATCACTGCTTAGTTCAGGGGCCACCAGTGACTGAAAATCTCCAGTTCTTCTCCTCTTTCAGAGGTTGGGGTGAGACTGAAAGTTCCAACCCTTGAATCACATAGTTGACTCCTCCGGTGACAAGTCCCTACCTGAAGTTAGGGGCTGAACATGAATCACTCCATTTGCACAAACTCAGGAATGGCTGAAAGGTCTTCCTATGAGGAAACCCTGAGGGCTTTAGGAGATCTGTGCCATAGAACTGGGCAATAGCTAAGTATCTAGTTCTTGTTCTAGACAAAAAGTCTGGAGCTACATATGAACCATCTCACAGTGAAGAGTGCCATGGAATTCACTCAGCAGGTCAGGCTCACTTTCAAAGCCAAATAAAGCAGTCATTTAAGTCACTGATGTCCCAGGTCTTATAAAGCTGCTTCTTAATACCCTAACCAGTTCCTTTATAACATGTTTTTGATGTTCTCTATTCCTTCTCTTCATAACATTTATCACCCATCTACCCACAATTGCTCCATTAAAGCTGTATTTCTTCCCATTCCACAATAAGTTCCCTGGGAATCTGTATGCTAATTGTTGATCACTGTATCCCAAGGCCTAGCATAAATCTTAGTCACTTTTCTTGCCACTGAGATACCGTATCCAGTTGCCTACAATTTAAAAGAGAAGGGGTTTATTCTGACTCATAATTTGTAAAAGTTTACATACTGTGCATGGCCAGGGGGCACAGCAGAAGGAAAAGTGCTCACATCATAGCAGTGGGGAAGCAGACAGTCAAGGAGAGGAGCTGGCAAGGGAGATGTAACAACAGCAAGTCAGCTCTAACGGCCCTATAATCCAACCCCTCCTTAAAGCCCCACCTATGATTCCATGAGGCTCTGGAAGGATATCTAGATATAAACCGTAAAGGCATTGAAAGCTGCCACAGCATATCTACTGAAAAACTAAGAGTTAAAATTAGATTTCCTTGCCTTGAGCAAATCTACAGCTTATTATAATTTTCACATCATCTTGCCTTCCATTTACCAAATTCTGCATGACAGAAAAAGGTTCTGGAGTCTTTTAGCAGAGACTAAACTCCAGTGAGCCCCATCAATAAGAGGAATTTAGCTCCACCATATCATTAAGAATAATTCAGGGAAGCTGTGGGCACAGTAAAGTACTAAAGTGAGGTTTCTCTAAGAACTCACAAAAAAAATCAACAGAATCATTTAGAAGGCCCATATTTCAAAGTTTTGCCAAATTAAGTTGGCTTCATACTTCAGAGGACTCCATAGCTTCACTTGGTGTTCCTCTCTCTGGGAATTTTAGAGTTCTGATGGTGTTCTAGGAGACAGAGTCCACATTCTCTATTTGGAATTTTAAAACATGACTTCTACATCAGGGTAGGACCTTGTCACAGCTCAGTGACAAACGGGTAGCACAACATGCAGAGTTTCCTGTCAATGACTGAAGTTTCTCCTTTCTGCAGAGCATACAAATCTATACTTATTTCTTAGCAACCAAATTTAAAAGGCAGAAAAATTATGCCAAGACAGCCAATGATGAGTTTTTTCCTGTCCTTTTTCCTTCTCACCCACACACAAGAAATATTTTCCTATTTATATTGACAGCACAGATGGTGTTTTTATTGTGAAGAGTTTTATCCACTGAGGAAAGACAACTTAGTCACTGTTAGTTGAAGAGAGGTAAAAATGAATATGGCTCTATGTATCACAAACTTGGTCATTGCTGGAGATGGTCACCAAGAGAAGGGGCACGAAGAGAATGTTACATGCTGCATCCACTCTGACCCCAATTATGTTCAACAATCGTGGCCAGGCTTCTTCTAGGTACAAAGCACCACACCTGATCTTCCAAAGGATCTTATGCTTTTATCAAAGAAGGC